AGGATTAAGTGTTTGCAGGCAAGTAGGAGGACCAGTGTTCAAATCCCCAGAACTCATTTAGTGCTGGTGGGCAGGACAGCTCTCTTGTAATCCCAGTTCACAGGGAGTTGGAAAAAGGGGACCCCCCCAACAACAACAACAACAACAACACACACACACACACACACACACACACACACACACACACACACACACACAGCAACCTGAGTGAATGAAGTGGAGAGAGATAGGGGAAAACTGTATATCAACCTCAGGCTTTCATGAGCATCTGCAGACATGTATGTGCCCACTCACATGAGAACATGTATATACACACACAGAATAAACACAGTCGTATAAAAAAAAAAGAAAATAATCATACCCACATACACATACGTGTGAGAGTATGTGTGTGCAAAGAGTGGTGGTGGCACACGCCTGTGGTCCCAGCTACATACGAAGCTGAGTACCAGGGTTGGGGATTTAGCTCAGTGGTAGAGCGCTTGCCTAGCAAGCGCAAGGCCCTGGGTTCGGTCCTCAGCTCTGGAAAAAAAAACAAGAAGGAGGAGGAGGAGGAGGAGGAAGAAGAAGAAGAGGAGGAGGAGGAGGAGGAAGAAGAGGAGGAAGAAGGAGGAGGAGGAGAAGAAGGAGAAGAAGAAGGAGAAGGAGGAGAAGGAGAAGAAGGAGAAGAAGCTGAGAACCGAGTAAGCCTACAAGTTAAAGCCCAGCGGCAGATGGAGACCTCCATCTCCAAAACAAAACAGAACACTTCTATATGCTGTCTCTCTCTCTTTAATTTCTGTTGTATATTAGGGAACTTTTAGTGAAAATGTATAAACATAAGTAGAGAAGACAGCAAAATAAACTCACATAACAAAGCTCAGCTCCAGTTCCTGCCAACATTTCCCAATCTTTCTTCTTTTTCCTCTTCCTCTTCTTCTTCTTCATTTTTTTCTACATTGAACTTTTTTTTTAAGACAGAGTCTCACATATCTCATGGTGGCCTTAACTTGACATGTAGCCAAAGATGACCTTTAACTCTAATCTTCTGTTTCCACCTCTCAAGTTCTAGATTAATAGGCTTTCAACCACCACACCCAGTTACAGGATGCACGCTAGACAAGCACTCTTCCGGCTGAGCGACATCTCCAGTCATTTCATTTTATTTTAGTTAATCTATTATCGGAGTGTGTGTGAGAGAGAGACAGAGGGAGAGAGAGACAGAGGGAGAGAGGAGAGACAGATGAGAGAGAAAGAGAGACAGACAGACAGAAGGGCAGAGAGACAGGGACACAGAGACAGAGAGAAAACAAAGACAGAGACAGAGAGAGACACACAGAGAAACAAAGAGAGAAGAGAGAGATGGAGAAAGAAATAGAGAGAAACAGACACACACACACAAAGAAAGACAGACAAGGGGGTGGATAGAGAATGCATGCATGCCACAGCACACATATGGAGGTCCACAGACAACTTCCAAAGTTGGTTCCCTTCTTCCACTATGTCTTTGAGGCAGGGTCTCTCACTGTTTCTACCACCCTGTGATTCCCGTCTCCACCGCTCATCTCCAGGTAGGATGCTGAGATTACAGACCCTTGGCACCACATCTGCCGGTGTCACACTTCAGGCTTGTGTGGCACACACTGTTACCTTCCGAGCTGTCTTGCCAGCCCCATCTCTTGCACTTTTATTGAAAGTTTAGAGTTTTTCTTTGTGTGCCTGTGTGTGTACCTGCTTGTTTGTATGTGCACCAGGGGCATGCTGGAGCCCATGGAGGTCCGAAGAGGGTGTCAGAGACCCTAGAACTGGAGAGAAAGGAGGCTGTGAGCTGCTCAGTGTGGGTGCTGGGAACTGAACCTGGGTCCTCTGTAAGAGCATGCAGTACTCTTAACCACCAGGCCATCCCTCCAGCCCTTTATTATTTTTGTCTTGGTCAGTGTCCTATTGCTATGAAGAGAAGCCATAACCATGATAACTCTTATAAAGGAAGGCATTTCACTGGGGCTGGCTTACAGTTTCAGAGGTTTAGTTCATTATCATAGTGGGAACGTGGCAGCATGCAGGCAGACATGGTGCTGGAGAAGGAGCTGAGAGTTCTCCATCTGGATCCACGGGCAGCAGGAAGAGAGAGAGACACTGGGCCTGGCTTGGGCTTTTTGATCCCTTAAGGCCACCCTCGGAGACACAATTCCTCCAACACACCTCCTAATCCTTCCCAAATAGTGCCAGTCTCTGGTGACTAAGCATTCAAATGTATGACCCTATTGGGGCCATTTTTATTCAAATAATAAAATAATTTTATTATTTTTATTTTGAATTTTTTTTTGTTGTTGTTGCTTGTTTTGAGACAGGGTCTCACTGTGTAGCACTAGCTGTCCTGGAACTCACTATGTAGATTAAGGCAGGCCTCGAACTCACAGAGATCCACTTACCTCTGTCTGCCTCCTGAGTGTTCAGCACACCTGACCAAGGTTTATTTCTATTTTATCTGTGTGGGTCATTGCACCACATTTGTGCTGTGTCCATGGAGGCCAGAAGAGAGTGTTTACAGGCAACATTTTTAGCCCCCGTATGGCTGCTGGGAACCGAACCCAGGTCCTCTGCAAGGGAGACAATGCTCTTAACCACAGAGTCACCTCTCCAGTGCCCTCACAAGGACCTTTTTATTGTGTTTGTGGGGAAGCATCTTCATTGTTTTTACGTTGATGGTTCAATAGTATTAAGGGTACTAACACTGTTAAATTTTTCACCCTGCACGTCTAAAATGTGAACCCACTGAGTAACACTTCACCCCTTCCCAGCCACTGGCAACTACTATGGTATTTTGGAAGGTTGTTTTGTTTTTGTTTTCGTTAACCCAGGGAGTGAGCCCCCAGGCCCCACATGCTAGGTAAGCTTCCTGCCACTGCATTCCGTCACTGGCCCCATTGCTGTCATTTATTTCAACAAATTTGATTAAGATTCTTCATATAAGCCAGGTGGTGGTGGCGCACGCCTTTAATCCCAGCCCTCAGGAGACAGAGGCAGGTCGATCTCTGAGTTCAAGGCCATCCTGGTCTACAGAGTGCGTTCTAGGGCAGCCAGGGCTACACAGAGAAACCCTGTCTTGAAAAAACAGAAACAAAACAAAAAGAGTCTTCATACAGCACTCTACCAAAGAGGCTCCGCCCCCGGCCCAGCCAGTGCAAAGGCTCCAGAGCTCATCTGTCCGACTTCCCCTCTTTTTTTCCCTTCCTTGTGCTTGGTCAAGAAGCTGGAGACTTGCCGGGCGGTAGTGGCGCACGCCTTGAATCCCAGCACTCGGGAGGCAGAGCCAGGCGGATCTCTGTGAGTTCGAGGCCAACCTGGGCTACCAAGTGAGTTCCAGGAAAGGC